ACGACAAAAAAAGAATTTTAAAAGCAGCCAGAGAGAGACAGAAAGTTACATATAAAGGAACCCCCATCAGACTAGCAACTGATTTCTCCACAGAAACTTATCAGGCCAGAAAGGAATGGGATGAAATATACAAAGTCATGCAAAGGAAGGGTCTGAATCCAAGAATACTGTACCCAGCAAGGCTATCAATCAAAATTGAAGGGGAAATCAGGAGCTTCACAGACAAAAACAGACTAAGGGAATTTATCTCCACCAAACCAGCAATGCAAGAAATGCTAACGGGTCTACTGTAAAGTTAAAGAAACAGAAAGCAAAGAAGGAACACAGGGGTATAGAATAAAAATGGCGTCAAATAAGTATCTATCAATTATAACTTTAAATGTAAATGGACTAAATGCTCCAATCAAAAGACATAGGGTAACGGATTGGATAAGAAAACAAGACCCATATATCTGTTGTCTACAAGAAACCCACCTCAGAAAAAAAGATGCACACAGACTGAGGGTGAAGGGATGGAAAAAGGTTTTCCAGGCGAATGGAAATGGAAAAAAAGCTGGGGTAGCAATACTTATATCTGACAAATTAGATCTCAGAGTGAAGGACATAACAAGAGATAATGAAGGTCACTTCATAATACTAAAGGGAGCAATCCAACAAGAAGAAATAACCCTGGTAAATATATATGCACCCAATACGGGAGCACCCCAATATATAAAAAAACTGCTGGAGGACATTAAGGGAGAGATTAATAGCAATACAATCATAGTAGGAGATCTTAATACCCCACTGTCACCCTTTGACAAGTCATCTAAACAAAAAATCAGCAAAGAAATATCAATCCTAAATGACTCGCTAGACCAGATGGAATTAATCGACATCTTCAGAACATTCCACCCCAAAGCCACAGAATATACATTCTTCTCAAGCGCACATGGGTCATTCTCAAAGATAGACCACATTTTGGGACATAGGCAAAGTCTCTTCAAATTCAAGAAGATAGAAATCATATCAAGCATCTTCTCAGATCATAGTGGCATAAAACTGGAAATTAACTACAACGAAAAAAATCCAAAGAAATCAAACACATGGAGACTAAACAGCATGCTATTAAACAAGGACTGGGTTACCAGAGAAATCAAGGAAGAAATTAAAAACATCCTGGAAACAAATGACAATGAAAACACAACTATCCAAAATCTATGGGACACAGCAAAAGCAGTTTTGAGAGGGAAGTTCATATCCCTACAAGCCTATTGCAAAAAACTAGAAAAAAGGGTAACAAATGATCTAACTCTACAACTCAAAGAGTTAGAAAAAGAGCAACAAGAAAAACCCAGTGTAAGCAGAAGGAAGGAAATAACAAAAATCAGAGCACAGATAAATGACATAGAGACCAAAGAAACAATACGTAAGATCAACAAAACCAAGAGCTGGTTCTTTGAAAGAATAAACAAGATAGATGGACCCCTAGCCAGGCTAACCAAGAAACAAAGAGAGAGGACCCAAATAAACAAAATCAGAAACGAAAGAGGTGAAATAACAACAGATCCCGCCGAAATACAAAGAATTGTTACAAAAAACTACGAACAGCTCTATTCCAATAAACTGAACAACCTGGAGGAAATGGACATATTCCTAGAAAAATACAACCTTCCAAAACTCAATCAGGAAGAATCTAAAAATCTAAATAGACCAGTGACTTGGGAAGAAATTGAAACAGTCATCAAAAAACTTCCAGCAAACAAAAGCCCAGGGCCAGATGGCTTCACAGGAGAGTTTTACCAAACATTCAAGGAAGAACTAAAACCTATCCTCCTCAGATTATTCCAAAAAATCCAAGAGGAAGGAACACTTCCAAACTCCTTCTATGAAGCCAGCATCACCCTAATACCAAAACCAGATAAAGACAACTCAATGAAAGAGAATTACAGGCCAATATCCCTCATGAACATAGATGCCAAAATCCTCAACAAAATTCTAGCAAATCGGCTCCAGCAGAGCATCACAAAGATCATACACCATGACCAAGTAGGATTTATTCCAGGAATGCAAGGATGGTACAATATCCGCAAATCAATAAACGTGATACATCACATAAACAAGTTGAAAGATAAAAATCATATAGTCATATCAATTGATGCAGAAAAAGCATTTGATAAAATCCAACACCCTTTCCTGATAAAAACTCTCAACAAGGTGGGAGTACAAGGATCATACCTCAACATAATAAAAGCTATATATGATAAACCCACAGCCAACATCATACTCAATGGGCAAAAACTAAAACCATTCCCTCTAAGAACAGGAACAAGACAGGGATGCCCACTTTTGCCACTCCTCTTTGACATAGTACTGGAAGTACTAGCCATTGCAATTAGACAAGAGGAGGAAATAAAAGGCATCTAAATTGGAAAAGAAGAAGTAAAGCTATCCTTATTTGCAGACGACATGATATTGTACATAAAAAACCCTAAAGACTCTATTAAAAAACTAATTGGCTTAATAAATGAATTTGGCAATGTAGCAGGATACAAAATTAACGCCAAGAAATCTATGGCATTTCTATACACCAACAGCGAATTTATAGAAACAGAGACTAAAAAAGCAATTCCATTTACCATCGCACCAAAAAAATTAAGATATCTAGGAATAAATTTAACTAAGGAAGTAAAGGACCTATGTGCGGAAAACTACACGACACTGAAAAAAGAGATAGAGGAAGATGTAAACAGATGGAAGAACATACCATGTTCATGGATTGGTAGAATCAACATCATCAAAATGTCCATACTTCCTAAAGCAATCTATAGGTTCAATGCACTCCCCATTAAAATACCAACGGCATACTTCACTGACCTAGAAAGAACTCTCCAAAAGTTCATTTGGAACAATAAAAGACCCCGAATAGCCACAGCAATCCTGAGAAAGAAGAGTAAAGTAGGAGGGATCTCAATACCAGACTTCAAACTGTATTACAAAGCCACTGTTCTCAAAACAGCCTGGTACTGGCACAAAAACAGACATATAGATCAATGGAATCGAATCGAGAACCCAGATATCAACCCAAATCACTATGCTCAATTAATATTTGACAAAGGAGGCATGAATATACAATGGAGTCAAGACAGTCTCTTCAATAAATGGTGTTGGGAAAATTGGACAGATACATGCAAAAGAATGAAACTGGATCACCAACTTACACCATACACAAAAGTAAACTCAAAATGGATACAGGACTTAAACATCAGATGGGAAACCATAAAAATACTAGAAGCATCCACGGGCAGCAAAATCTCAGACATATGCCAAAAGAACTTCTTCACTGATACTGCCCCTAGGGCAATGGAAGCTAAAGAGAAAATAAACAAATGGGACTACATCAAAATAAAAAGCTTTCTTACAGCAAAAGAAACCATCAACAAAACAACAAGAAAGCCCACAATGTGGGAGAACATATTTGCAAATGTTACCACTGATAAAGGTTTAATCTCCAACATCTACAAACAGCTTATACAACTAAATAAAAGGAAGATGAATGATCCAATTAAAAAATGGGCAATGGACCTAAATAGAATATTTCCAAAAGAAGACAGAAGGAAGGCCAAAAGGCACATGAAAACATGCTCAAAGTCACTAATTATCCGAGAGATGCAAATCAAAACAACAATGCGGTACCATCTCACACCTGTCAGGATGGCCAACATCAACAGATCAACAAACGACAGGTGTTGGCGAGGTTGTGGAGAAAAGGGAACCCTCGTGCGCTGCTGGTGGGAATGCAGACTGGTGCAACCACTGTGGAGAACAGTGTGGAGTTTCCTCAAAAAACTGAAAATGGAACTCCCATTTGACCCAGTAATCCCACTCCTAGGAATATATCCCAAGAAACTAGAAACACCAATCAGAAAGGATATATGCACCCCTATGTTCATAGCAGCACAATCTACAATAGCTAGAATTTGGAAACAGCCTAGGTGCCCATCAGCAGATGATTGGATCAAAAAACTTTGGTACATCTACACAATGGAATACTATGCTGCTATAAAAAAGAAGGAATTCTCATCATTTGTAGCAACCTGGATGGAAATGGAGAACATCATGCTGAGTGAAATAAGCCAGTCATTGAAAGAAAAACACCACATGACTTCACTCATTTGTGGATAATAAAGAACATTATAAACTGATGAACCAAAAGATAGATATAAAGATAGTATATCAACAAGCAGACTGTCAAATTACAGCGGGGAGGGGAGGAAGATCTGGGGGAGATAATAGATCAATCGAAGGACTTTTATACATGCACATAAGTACAACCATTGGACATAAAACTCTGGGGAGGGAGGGGATATGAGGGAAGGAGGGAGGGGGGGCAAAAAAAAAATAAAAAAAAAATATATATATTTAAAAAAAAAAAAAAGACTGAAGAAAGGACCTCTTTTCCACTATTTTGAATGCTTAATAGCTAATTTCATAACATCACATGTACCATTTTAAGAAAGTGATGATTTAGTGGGAAATTAATGCTTTGCATCTGTATACTGTAAATATAAATGACGATTTGTTTGAAATGTGTAACTTGGATATGCAAAAGATAATAACCCACAATGTTAATATTAAATATTCCTTCAAAAAAAAAATAATAAATAAAAAAAAAAATAAATAAATAAAAAATAAATAAATAAATAAATAAAAAAAGAAAAGAAGCCAAATATATGGTAACAGAAGATGGCTTGACTTTGGGTGGTAGATACAAAATACCATATTCAGGTCATATATCATAGAAATGCATACTTTCTATCTATATGATCCTGTTAACTAATGTCACCCCAATAAATTTAATTTTAAAAAGCTCAAAAAAAAAAAAAAAAAAGAATTTTCTGGGTGTAGTCTTTGGACATCTACATAGGAAACCTATTTAGGGACTTCCTTGTGTCATGTTTTGTCACATCTATTTAAATTACATCAGAACCAAAATACATATTTGCATTACCAGCCCTTACCTTAAGAGTTCTATCTGTAGAGCTGGCAACTTTCTCCTTTGGCTTATCCTACAGGCTGCCTTCTGAGAATCAGAAGAGAACAACCAACTTCGATCATTTGAACATGGAGCATCAACTAACACCTAGGGAAAAAGAGGAAACATAATGTAAATATGTGCTGAAAATACAACCTCAGACACAAAGTATATAGGGAAGCTCTGTAAAACATAACCAAAAATAGCAAATAAAGACATTTCTTTTAAAGCCAAAAATATACCATCATAATTCTTCTTTATGACATTTCTTTACTAATAGTAAAATTTTATTTTTACTGTGCACTTTCAATGTTTGGGTTTTTGGAGGAGAGAGAGAGATTTGGAATGTGGGGGGGGACCAAAAATCTATTAATGTCCCCTAATATTTCATATTCTTGAAACTATAGCAAAATACTTTATAAAAGTGACTCATTTTAAACAGATATTATATTTCTGCATTCTAAGCATTTATTTTTAGGAACTAATATTTTAATTTCTGTTTACTGAAATGCTCTTTTTCTTCATTCAACTATCATACTCTGATATGAAATGTTACCAAATCAGAGCAATACAATGCACATATTTGTGTACTCACACAAGTAATATCTGATCTTTCCTAAATATCTTTGAGGTACCTGGAAATAAAAATCATTCTATAATCTCCAATCCCAATGTTACTGCATCCTTTCAACCATGCTGACCATCAACTGAAAACTACTTTCAGGCTCACTTTATCAGAATTTCCCAGGGTACTAAGAAACTCTACCAGGCTCTGTCTGGAAACAGATGGAAAACAAAACAAAACACACAAAAAAAAAACCCACAACACAACAGTGGTATTACTGGGAGTCCATCAGTTTGTCACAATGTAATAAAAGTACCTTGTCAAACTTTTCAGGCTGGGCATCTCCCATTTCTCTGCCATCCAATTCAGACACTTTAATTACATTTTCCAAAGACTCTGGGATGAAAGATTCTAACGTCTGCCTCAGCCACCTCAATCTCAGACTATCATATTCATTGCAATGAAGATAACCTAAAGATAAAGAATTTAAAAGTTTTAAAATGAATGCAATGGAAATGTTAAACTTCTACTTTTGGTTGACTAAATTTGAAAAGAAATAAATTTATTGTATTTATGCAGAAATAGGGCTCAAAGGTAAATATTATTCTTATTCTGAAAAAAAAAACACACAGACACTCACACACACTACATAAAAATTAATAGTTTTTCTCTTATACAGCTTCTCTCAATATTTACTCACTCAAACTTAATTTTCAAAGTAAAAAGCCATATATACAACAAATACCTCAGCTCTCCCTTAAAGCTATTAAGAGTAAATGACATATCCCGTTACATATACAGAGCTCCTTCCAGGACAGAACACCTTCATGTAAAAGAAAGGAAGATATGTAGTATGTGGGCAAAAGCATGTAAAATGCAATTATCACTATGATTAGAAAGACATGGGCCCAAGTTATGAGCTGTAAGACTTCAGTGGGTGATGTATAGAGACAGCATGGCTAAGCCAAACAAAGGGATGATTCACATCTGGGGCAGGATGGAGCAGGCCAGTGCAAGATTTCATTATGCTACTCAGAATGGAGCACAATTTACAACTTCCTGTTGATTTCTTGAATTTTCCTTTTAATATTCTGAGACCATGGTTAACCTTGGGCAACTGAAACCACAGAAAGAGAAAATGTGGATAAAGGAAAACTACTTTACAGAAGGCACTTAGCAAATGCTTCTCTCCCTAATAAAATCAGTATTGATTTTCCTTTATTTGAATATATATGTGTGTATATATATATATATATATATATATATTCATTATGCTATAAGTTATATGTAATACAATTATCCTATCTAATAAAAGAGTAATATGAAAATTAACCATCACTTCACTATACTCACAAGCCACGCCCACCAACCAATCAGGTGTGGGTATGCAAATTAACCCAATCAATATGGCTACGGCCACTGAGAGAGGGAGGGAGCCTTGGGTTTCCCCAGCAATGGAGGAAGCCAAGTTTTCCACACACCCTGGCCAGCCCAGGCCTCCGCTTAAGGCTACAAAGTTTCAATTCTAGAAGATAAATAAATCCCAACAGAAATGGCTGCTGCCAGGGAGCAAGCAAAAGGCTTGGCTCTGCTCCAGGCTACAAAGTTTCAATTGTAGAAGATAAGTAAATCCCAGATACCACTGCCTCCATATGGGTCACAGCGGGCATGGCCAGTATGCAAACCAACACAGGCCCCTTTTTCAGGCTCCCCACGCCCCCAGGAAACCCCCAACCTGATCTGGGACACCTTCAGAGCAAACCACTGACCCCCACCCATGCACCAGGCCTCTATCCTATCTAATAAAAGAGTAATATACAAATTGACCATCACTCCAACACACAGATGGCTGCCTCCATGTGATCAAAGATCCTGCCCCCATGTGGACACAAGATGGCCACCACAAGATGGCCAGGAGGGAAGGGAAGTTGGGAGGGACCAGGCCCTGTGCAAGGGAGGGCAGTTGAGGGTGATCAAGCCTGCAGGGCAGGGCAGTTAGTGGTAAACAGCCTGATAGAGAAGGGAAGCTGGGGGCAAACAAGCTGGCAGGGGAGTGGTTAGGGGGCGATCAGACTGGCAGAAAAAAGCAGTTAGGGGCAATCAGGAAGGCAGGCAGGCGAGCAGTTGGGAGCCAGCAGTCCTAGACTGTGAGAGGGATGTCTAACTCCCCATGTAGAACTGATCCCAGTGGGATCGGATCTCGAGGGGTCCCAGATTGGAGAGGGTTGAGGCACACCTACCCCCCACCCCATCCCCATGCACAAATTCCGTGCACCAGGCCTCTAGTATAATATATATTTAAATAGAAGTATTTTTTTATTCATACAAATATAAAGAAAACACATAAAAAATTAATTAAAACTTTGTCTTCAGATATCTGCCATTTAACATTTTGATAAATAAGAATACTGTATCTATTTATACATACACCAGCACAAACACACAAATAGAATTATATATTTGTGGTATCATTTTTTCATGTCATTCTTCAGCTATCCCTTCCACCAACTGCCCAACTACTCCATCAAAAGGAACCTATTATATAATTATTTATATACCCAGGATTGTATTTATACACATCTCTTCCCCCTTACTTTCCACATATGCCTACTTCAAAGGAAATACCATCAAGTCAAGAAGTAGAGATATAATTTTAAAAGGCTGCTAAGTCGTACATAGAATAAAGGTGTAATCCTTTATCCAACTATTATCAACTGTTGTAATAATGACATTCACTAAACATCCTTGTTTTATTTTCATAATGTGCTTTTACTATTAGAGGTAGTACCAGAGGAATGGGTAGGTTTGAGTAGGGAAATCAATAGTTTTAGGAAATACTACTACCATGGCCCTCCACCAAATTCCCACAAGAAGTGTTATTATTAACCTGACATGGATTCAATGTGGTGTAATCCTTGATCTCTAACAACTGAGCATCTTTCCATTTGTCTATTCACCATTTGGCTTTGTTTTTCTGTCAAGTGTCCATTCTTAGCCTTTGTCCCTCTTTTTTTCCATTGTACTACTTATTTTTCCTATTAACAAGTAAAACATTTATTATAGTTATTAACCCTTTACCTGCTATCTGATTTTTAAACGTTTCCCAAATTATCTTCTGAATTCATTTGAAATATCTTTTTTAATATATGTTTCACAATATTCTTATGGTCAGTCATATCACTTTTATAATTTTGGTCTTATTTAAAGTCATCTTTTCACCGTTAGATTTTCATCTGATTTAACTAAACATTCAAACAGACCACATTTGTCATCAAACTACACAGGACAGGAACCAGCTTACCAAGAGGGCAGGGTGAAACACTGCTCTTTCATGGAAGGCCTTCTGAGGTCCATACAGGATGAGCCTCACATTGGGCAGGTTGAGCTGTCCTGCTTAAAAGGCTCACATCCCACAGGTGCCCATACCCCGTCTAACAACTCCACAGGCATAACTTCCAGGGCCCCTACAAGGGACATGCTAAATTATAAAAACCACTGCACTTAGGGTTTATTTATTCTTCCTCCCAATGCACATGCATTTTACCAATCAGGGTCATTTTTATCATAAGCAATGTTGCATAGAAACATAGGGATAATCTCTGCCAGGTTACCAGGAAAGCAAAGTAAGCGAACTAATTGAAGATGAAACTAATGCAGAGGGGGGTAAATTTTCTAAACCCTTTTCTCAAATACATATATGTATGTACACATGTATATATGTGTATATACATCTATATATGTTTATAACATGAGTTGTCTTCTTCTGATTGCCACTCTATTGTTAAAAACTTTTAATTGACTTCCCATCATCCACTAAATAAAATTCAAACCCCTAGTCTTCAATTCAAGGTCTGTAATATTGAAACCTCAAATTAACCTTTCTACTTTAACTTCTCACTATTCATCAACATACTCTGTACTCTGTCAAATCTGGCTGACTAATCCGTTTCTCAAATATATTTTATTCCTCTACTATAGAACTTAACATATTTTTATCTCAGATGGGAGGTGTTCAAGTGAATTGCTTACCTTTACTACTACCAGGGCTTCAAATTTCTATATGGCAAAAGCTCAGAAGATGGCATCAATTTTGTTTAAGGGAGAAAGAGGTAGAAAATCAAGTGAGAGCTGCATTTGTACGGTAGGATATTTTTTTATTATTTAGTTTTGATGTTTATTTTGGATAGTTTCTGGAAGATTTGCTAATGAAGCTTATCGATAGTTATCTAAAAGTTGTGTCTTAGCAAGGCATCTCTAGAACAATCTGCTAGTTTCTTCTGTCTCCCACTTTCCTTGGTTAATGTTCATTCCATACACGGTGGGTTTGTGTTACCTGGCCCTTCCAAGCAAATGCTAGGAAGCCAGAGAGTGACAAGGCGAGGTATTGCAAGCACTCAGGCGCGGTCATCTCTGCTTGTCAGCTGGCCCCCTTCCAGAGGCTCCTCGATTAGTGGCAGTGATAGCATTGGCAGCAGACACCTGCAGGAAGCCGAGAGCCTTGGCTGCAAATAAATCAAAGCAACTCAAGCTCTGAAGTGTGTGTGTGTGGGGGCGGGGGGGGGGGATAGGGAGGGGTGGTGGTGATGCAAAGCCAAGCAAATCTGTGTGGTTCATAAACTGGGGCAAAGAGAGTCCCCAAAGTTACTCCCTGTCTCTGCTACTGCTTAGTAGGTACTAAAAGCCTCAAAGGGAAAAAAACAAACAAACACATCTTAATTATATTCAATTCTACTTCTCCATTTTATGGTTTACAGATTTCAGTCTATTTCTAGTCTTTTAATAGTAACCCTGAAGGTTTTAACATGGATGTGTCTAAGAAAAATCTAAATTAAGTAAATCTTTACAATTCTTCCTAAAAGATACAAGAATCTTAGAATCCTTACCAAATTAGATGCCACTGATATTAAAAATGTGGCTTTTATCTGGGCTCACATTTTTAACTGCACAAAACACTATCATTGGCTTCTAGAGTCAATGCGTGCTGGATTTTCCCACCTGCTTTGCTCTTTATTTTTTGGTATCTTCTACCTTTCAACTAAGATAGAGTTTTTCTTTTTCCTGAAGCATATTCTTCATAATTCTTGGTAGAAAACTCTTCTCTTTTTCTTCTTGTCTTAAAAAAAAAGGGGGGGAGGGGTATTTCATTTTGGCTCCTCCAAGATATTTAGGTGACTATTCTTCTGATATCAGTCATCTTTCTCAGCTCATTGAAAACATCATTCCTCTGAATAATGGTTTCCCTTGTTACTCTCAAAGGTTAACTCTCAGTCTAACTGTTGTTCCTTTGCAGGTGAAATGTCCTCCCTGGCTTCAGTTAAGATCTTTTTATTTTCAGTGTTCTGCAAATAATGGTATACATTGGCTTAACTGTGACTACAAAATTTCAGAGGGTATTTCCCGTCCTCTGCCATCAGCAAAATTGAGCAGTTTCTTTTCAGTCCCTTGGAGAGGACTATTTCTTCCTAGTTTAC